ATGATGGCACGTATCGACATGATGGCACGTATCGACATGATGGCACGTATCGACATGATGGCACGTATCGACATGATGGCACGTACCGACATGTGGCACGTACCGACATGTGGCACGTATCGACATGTGGCACGTATCGACATGTGGCACGTACCGACATGTGGCACGTATCGACATGTGGCACGTATCGACATGTGGCACGTATCGACATGTGGCACATATCGACATGTGGCACGTATCGACATGTGGCAAGTATCGACATGTGGCACGTATCGACATGTGGCACGTATCGACATGTGGCACGTATCGACATGTGGCACGTATCGACATGATGCACGTATCGACATGATGGCACGTATCGACATGATGGCACGTATCGACATGATGGCACGTATCGACATGTGGCACGTATCGACATGTGGCACGTATCGACATGTGGCACGTATCGACATGTGGCACGTATCGACATGATGGCACGTATCGACATGTGGCACGTATCGACATGTGGTACGTATCGACATGTGGTACGTATCGACATGTGGCACGTATCGACATGTGGCACGTATCGACATGTGGCACGTATCGACATGTGGCACGTATCGACATGTGGCACGTATCGACATGTGGCACGTATCGACATGTAACACATATCAACATGTGGCATGTATCGACATGTGGCACGTATCGACATGATGGCACGTATCGACATGATGGCACGTATCCACATGATGGCTCGTATCGACATGATGGCACGTATCGACATGATGGCTCGTATCGACATGATGGCACGTATCGACATGTGGCACGTATCGACACGATGGCACGTATCGACATGATGGCACGTATCGACATGATGGCACGTATCGACATGTGGCACGTATCGACATGATGGCACGTATCGACATGTGGCACGTATCGACATGTGGCACGTATCGACATGATGGCACGTATCGACATGATGGCACGTATCGACATGTGGCACGTATCGACATGATGGCACGTATCGACATGTGGCACGTACCGACATGTGGCACGTATCGACATGTGGCACGTATCGACATGTGGCACGTACCGACATGTGGCACGTATCCACATGTGGCACGTATCGACATGTGGCACGTATCGACATGTGGCACGTATTGACATGATGGCTCGTATCGACATGTGGCGCGTATCGACATGTGCCACGTATCGACATGTGGCACGTATCGACATGTGGCACGTATCGACATGTGGCACGTATCGACATGTGGCACGTATCGACATGATGGCACGTATCGACATGATGGCACGTATCGACATGATGGCACGTATCGAAATGTGGCACGTATCGACATGTGGCACGTATCGACATGTGGCACGTATCGACATGTGGCACGTATCGACATGTGGCACGTACGTATCGACATGTGGCACGTATCGACATGTGGCACGTATCGACATGTGGTACGTATCGACATGTGGTACGTATCGACATGTGGCACGTATCGACATGTGGCACGTATCGACATGATGGCACGTATCGACATGTGCCACGTATCGACATGTGGCACGTATCGACATGTGGCACGTATCGACATGTGGCACGTATCGACATGTGGCACGTATCGACATGTGGCACGTATCGACATGATGGCACGTATCGACATGATGGCACGTATCGACATGATGGCACGTATCGAAATGTGGCACGTATCGACATGTGGCACGCATCGACATGTGGCACGTATCGACATGTGGCACGTATCGAAATGTGGCACGTATCGACATGTGGCACGTATCGACATGTGGCACGTATCGACATGTGGCACGTATCGACATGTGGCACGTATCGACATGTGGCACGTATCGACATGATGGCACGTATCGACATGTGGCACGTATTGACATGTGGCACGTTTCGACTTGTGGCATGTATCGACATGTGGCACGTATCGACATGATGGCACGTATCGACATGATGGCACGTATCGACATGATGGCACGTATCGACATGTGGCACGTATCGACACGATGGCACGTATCGACATGATGGCACGTATCGACATGATGGCACGTATCGACATGTGGCACGTATCGACATGATGGCACGTATCGACATGTGGCACGTATCGACATGATGGCACGTATCGACATGATGGCACGTATCGACATGATGGCACGTATCGACATGATGGCACGTATCGACATGATGGCACGTACCGACATGTGGCACGTACCGACATGTGGCACGTATCGACATGTGGCACGTATCGACATGTGGCACGTACCGACATGTGGCACGTATCGACATGTGGCACGTATCGACATGTGGCACGTATCGACATGTGGCACATATCGACATGTGGCACGTATCGACATGTGGCAAGTATCGACATGTGGCACGTATCGACATGTGGCACGTATCGACATGTGGCACGTATCGACATGTGGCACGTATCGACATGATGCACGTATCGACATGATGGCACGTATCGACATGATGGCACGTATCGACATGATGGCACGTATCGACATGTGGCACGTATCGACATGTGGCACGTATCGACATGTGGCACGTATCGACATGTGGCACGTATCGACATGTGGCATGTATCGACATGTGGCACGTATCGACATGTGGCACGTATCGACATGTGGTACGTATCGACATGTGGCACGTATCGACATGTGGCACGTATCGACATGATGGCACGTATCGACATGTGGGCACGTATCGACATGTGGCACGTATCGACATGTGGCACGTATCGACATGTGGCACGTATCGACATGTGGCACGTATCGACATGATGGCACGTATCGACATGATGGCACGTATCGACATGATGGCACGTATCGACATGTGGCACGTATCGAAATGTGGCACGTATCGACATGTGGCACGTATCGACATGTGGCACGTATCGACATGTGGCACGTATCGACATGTGGCACGTATCGACATGTGGCACGTATCGACATGTGGTACGTATCGACATGTGGCACGTATCGACATGATGGCACGTATCGACATGATGGCACGTATCGAAATGTGGCACGTATCGACATGTGGCACGTATCGACATGTGGCACGTATCGACATGTGGCACGTATCGAAATGTGGCACGTATCGACATGTGGCACGTATCGACATGTGGCACGTATCAACATGTGGTACGTATCGACATGTGGCACGTATCGACATGTGGCACGTATCGACATGTGGCACGTATTGACATGTGGCACGTATCGACATGTGGCACGTATCGACATGTGGCACGTATCGAAATGTGGCACGTATCGACATGTGGCACGTATCGACATGTGGCACGTATCGACATGTGGCACGTATCGACATGTGGCACGTATCGACATGTGGCACGTATCGACATGTGGCACGTATCGACATGTGGTACGTATCGACATGTGGCACGTATCGACATGATGGCACGTATCGACATGATGGCACGTATCGAAATGTGGCACGTATCGACATGTGGCACGTATCGACATGTGGCACGTATCGACATGTGGCACGTATCGAAATGTGGCACGTATCGACATGTGGCACGTATCGACATGTGGCACGTATCAACATGTGGTACGTATCGACATGTGGCACGTATCGACATGTGGCACGTATCGACATGTGGCACGTATCGACATGTGGCACGTATCGACATGTGGCACGTATCGACATGTGGCACGTATCGAAATGTGGCACGTATCGACATGTGGCACGTATCGACATGTGGCACGTATCGACATGTGGCACGTATCGACATGTGGCACGTATCGAAATGTGGCACGTATCGACATGTGGCACGTATCGACATGTGGCACGTATCGACATGTGGTACGTATCGACATGTGGCACGTATCGACATGATGGCACGTATCGACATGATGGCACGTATCGACATGTGGCACGTATCGACATGTGGCACCTAACCGATGTTCACTCAGTGCCATTGCGCCCATCAGATCTGCCGTTGGCCCAGATTGGCCCGGGCGGCCCGGGTGGATCCATAACAAACCTGTTAATCACGAGCTCCTCTGCCTCCTCTGCCTCCTCTGCCTCCTCTGCCTCCTCTGCTTCCTCTGCCTCCTCTGCCTCCTCTGCCTCCTCTGCCTCCTCTGCCTCCTCTGCCTCCTCTGCCTCCTCTGCTTCCTCTGCCTCCTCTGCCTCCTCTGCCTCCTCTGCCTCCTCTGCCTCCTCTGCCTCCTCTGCCTCCTCTGCCTCCTCTGCCTCCTCTGCCTCCTCTGCCTCCTCTACCTCCTCTGCCTCCTCTGCCTCCTCTGCCTCCTCTGCCTCCTCTGCCTCCTCTGCCTCCTCTGCCTCCTGTGCCTCCTCTGCCTCCTGTGCCTCCGGGCTCCTGTGCCTCCGGGCTCCTGTGCCTCCGGGCTCCTGTGCCTCCGGGCTCCTGTGCCTCCGGGCTCCTGTGCGTCCGGGCTCCTGTGCCTCCGGGCTCCTGTGCCTCTTCTGTGTACCTTTTCTTTGAGCAGCACCAGTGTACCTGCTGGCAACCGCACCGCATCCTAGCAGGCCCGCTGGAGGGGCAGCTGTGGGTGGTCCCCACTACACATGGCCTTTGGATCTTTTTCCAGTGCTTCCCTTTCCTTCCCATCCACACCCCTACCTCTCCCCCACGTCACCCTCACAGGGACTGATGGTAAAGGCAAGACAAGCTGCCAGGTTATGTTGGCGCTACTACCTATCTTGGACATTCTGGTACAAGTTTCGACACATTGTATCAATTTTAACATGAGTATGCCTCTTCTGTCCGCCCCTCTCCCTCTTCTGTCCGCCCCTCTCCCTCTTCTGTCCGCCCCTCTCCCTCTTCTGTCCGCCCCTCTCCCTCTTCTGTCCGCCCCTCTCCCTCTTCTGTCCGCCCCTCTCCCTCTTCTGTCCGCCCCTCTCCCTCTTCTGTCCGCCCCTCTCCCTCTTCTGTCCGCCCCTCTCCCTCTTCTGTCCGCCCCTCTCCCTCTTCTGTCCGCCCCTTCCTCTCCCCCTGCAGAGCTACTTCTCCTGGCTGCTGAGGGACAATCTCGCCAGCACATATACAGCCAGGTGAGTATGTTCGCAGCTGTTTCATCGCCTTCCAATGGGATTCCATGGCCGCATGCTATCAATGCAAAGTGGTGGTGTGCGGTAGAGGTGATTTTGAAGTTTTACGTCTCCGTTGAAGGGGTGCCGTGTGGGAGAGGTGCCGTGTGGGAGAGGTGTCGTGTGGGAGAGGTGTCGTGTGGGAGAGGTGCCGTGTGGGAGAGGTGTCGTGTGGGAGAGGTGCCGTGTGGGAGAGGTGTCGTGTGGGAGAGGTGCCGTGTGGGAGAGGTGTCGTGTGGGAGAGGTGCCGTGTGGGAGAGGTGTCGTGTGGGAGAGGTGCCGTGTGGGAGAGGTGTCGTGTGGGAGAGGTGCCGTGTGGGAGAGGTGTCGTGTGGGAGAGGTGTCGTGTGGGAGAGGTGTCGTGTGGGAGAGGTGCCGTGTGGGAGAGGTGTCGTGTGGGAGAGATGCCGTGTGGGAGAGGTGTTGTGTGGGAGAGGTGCCGTGTGGGAGAGGTGTCGTGTGGGAGAGGTGCCGTGTGGGAGAGGTGTCGTGTGGGAGAGGTGCCGTGTGGGAGAGGTGTCGTGTGGGAGAGGTGCCGTGTGGGAGAGGTGTCGTGTGGGAGAGGTGCCGTGTGGGAGAGGTGTCGTGTGGGAGAGGTGCCGTGTGGGAGAGGTGTCGTGTGGGAGAGGTGCCGTGTGGGAGAGGTGTCGTGTGGGAGAGGTGTCGTGTGGGAGAGGTGTCGTGTGGGAGAGGTGCCGTGTGGGAGAGGTGTCGTGTGGGAGAGATGCCGTGTGGGAGAGGTGTTGTGTGGGAGAGGTGCCGTGTGGGAGAGGTGTCGTGTGGGAGAGGTGCCGTGTGGGAGAGGTGTCGTGTGGGAGAGGTGCCGTGTGGGAGAGGTGTCGTGTGGGAGAGGTGCCGTGTGGGAGAGGTGTCGTGTGGGAGAGGTGCCGTGTGGGAGAGGTGTCGTGTGGGAGAGGTGCCTTGTGGGAGAGGTGCCGTGTGGGAGAGGTGCCGTGTGGGAGAGGTGCCGTGTGGGAGAGGTGTCGTGTGGGAGAGGTGTCGTGTGGGAGAGGTGTCGTGTGGGAGAGGTGCCGTGTGGGAGAGGTGTCGTGTGGGAGAGGTGCCGTGTGGGAGAGGTGTCGTGTGGGAGAGGTGCCTTGTGGGAGAGGTGCCGTGTGGGAGAGGTGCCGTGTGGGAGAGGTGCCGTGTGGGAGAGGTGTTGTGTGGGAGAGGTGCCGTGTGGGAGAGGTGCCGTGTGGGAGAGGTGTCGTGTGGGAGAGGTGCCGTGTGGGAGAGGTGTCGTGTGGGAGAGGTGCCGTGTGGGAGAGGTGTCGTGTGGGAGAGGTGCCGTGTGGGAGAGGTGTCGTGTGGGAGAGGTGTTGTGTGGGAGAGGTGCCGTGTGGGAGAGGTCTGATATGCTCTTCACACAGCTTCAAGCTCACATCAGTAGCAGCAGCTGACATCAGCTTTTCCAAGCCCTTCCCCAAGCAGGTCATGCTATTCCAAGCCTTCACTCCAGTTGTGTTGCCATTAAATTCCCTTCCCAATCGTCTCTCATTGCACTGCTGCTGTGCCTTCCCCCCCTCTGCTCTCCTAGTTCTTGAGGCAGTGGTACAGTGTGCAGAGGGGCGAGTACCAGCTGGCCAACCACGTGTGGGAGGAGTCAAACCGCAACCAGGCGGCACGTCAGCCACAGTGGATACTCATTCCGCTGCTGTTGCCCCTGTCGCCACCTCTGCTCTGCGCAGTTCTTGAGGCAGTGGTACAGCGAGCAGCAGGGCGACTACCACCTGTTCAGCCACGTGTGGGAGCAGCACCGCCTCAACCAGGTGGCGCGCTGGCCGCAGTGGCGGCGGAGGGTGCTCATGGTGCCGTTCCGTGAGCTCACAGGGCCCGATGGCGCCATGGTGCGCCACCTGTGGGGGGGTGTGGCCAGCGAGGAGCGCGACAGGGTGGTCCATGACGCACTGGAGGAGGCACTGGGCAGCCTGCAGTGAGGGCAGTGAGGGCAGTGAGGGCAGTGAGGGCAGTGAGGGCAGTCAGGGCAGTCAGGGCAGTGAGGGCAGTGAGGGCAGTGAGGGCAGTCAGGGCAGTCAGGGCAGTGAGGGCAGTGAGGGCAGTGAGGGCAGTCAGGGCAGTGAGGGCAGTCAGGGCAGTCAGGGCAGTGAGGGCAGTCAGGGCAGTGAGGGCAGTGAGGGCAGTGAGGGCAGTGAGGGCAGTGAGGGCAGTGAGGGCAGTGAGGGCAGTGAGGGCAGTGAGGGCAGTGAGGGCAGTGAGGGCAGTGAGGGCAGTGAGGGCAGTGAGGGCAGTCAGGGCAGTCAGGGCAGTGAGGGCAGTGAGGGCAGTCAGGGCAGTCAGGGCAGTCAGGGCAGTGAGGGCAGTGAGGGCAGTGAGGGCAGTCAGGGCAGTCAGGGCAGTCAGGGCAGTGAGGGCAGTGAGGGCAGTGAGGGCAGTGAGGGCAGTGAGGGCAGTCAGGGCAGTGAGGGCAGTCAGGGCAGTCAGGGAAGCACATACGTGGGCTTCATTAGGCGTGTGTGGGCTTGCCTGTGCTTCTCCCGGTATGTCCAGAGCTGACTGTGTTTGTGTGGCTTGCTGCGGGTAAGGGCAGCTTGTGAGAGGGTGGTGGAGTCTGGGCCATTGGAACACGCACTGAACTGCGCTTTGCTGGGTGAGGTGCTGTGTTGGGCATGGGTGGAAGGTGCTGTGTTGGGCATGGGTGGAAGGAGTCACGCTTGTGTGTCCTGCGTGCACCCGCATGTGCGTGTGTGGGTGATCTTTCACCGGATGCACGTGGTGGTGTGGTGGTTGAGGTGCTGCCGGAGGTGCTGGGGTAGCAGCGTTACAGGCTGCGGCAGTAATTGTATGGAGCGTTATGTACAAAGGAGAGTGTTGTCAAACTGTTTGTTTGTGTTCTCTCTGGGCTAGTGGGTTAGCCTACAAGGGGTACAACACGTTAGGGTTAGTACTTGTACCCAACTCATTATAGTTCATTCATTCCCGCACAGTTATTCTGACAGTGTTTTGAGAGGAGGTAAGTGAGGCAATGGAGAGCTGGCTTGCCATGCTGAGGCCTTGTCTGTGGGTGATGTGTGGAAAGTGGTGGCTTCATCTGGTAGGTAGCCATGGCCCCGGCCGGCGGCTGCATCCCAGAAGCATTAGGATTATCATTGCATGGTGACTGGGTATGAAAACCTTACATTGTATCGTACTCCCCCGAATTGGGGGCCCCTAGGGGCTTATGTTGGAAACAATCGATCTTAAGCGCCTCTGTCGTGTCGAAACACTAAGGCACAAACGAAGCGAAGCATATCGAAGCACCTGCGAGTCAAACCTCGGAGGTTAAAAGTAGTTGTTAGAGGTTACGCGAAAGTCAAAGGTCAGCGACCTTTGACCTGACAAGTACAGCGCGACAGCAAGGACACACAACTGAGTCGTCACTGTATCGAACCGCAACAGCAACAGTAAAGTAGTTACAACCGTATCTCTTCGTATTCCTTGTACTCTTATATAATCTTGTATCTCTTTGTTTTAATCAATCTACTTTGCCCTCACATACTAGCGCAAGGTGGTTCAGCTACTTCATTAAGGCTTCCGCTATTACATCAGTCCTACCCAGAGTTCACCCCTGCAAAGATCCTAAGGGCTTTTTCTCAGCCCAACATGGTATGAGAGCAGTCAGGGAGAATTCAACTTCTATTAAGATACCGACAACATCAACAGGCATGGCTACACAAAAGGAAAGGAGCTCCTCCAACGGCTCCCAGGGCACTACTCCTACTCCACCTCCTGCCTCTGGCCTACAGACAGAGGAGGGTACGGCAACAAGACCCAGGGCAACATCCACCGAGACTCCTGCGAATCAACCTGCAGACTTCGACCTGAGTATGATGGAGAAATTCTTCTCCTTCATGTCCTTCTACGAGCAACACCAGCAATCGGCACCTGCGCAGTCACACAATAGCAACAACAACGGAGCTACTCCCATGAGTCTCGACGGCTCATCATACGCACGAGGAAATCAACAGCAGCAGCCTACCTTTGCTCCGTACGAACGCGGGTCCATCAGCTTCATGCCACACCCGCAGCCTTCACCTGGACAAGAAAGGCCACTGGACGCGTTACAAGTTCAGTCGCAGTTCGCGCACGTCTTAAAACTTCAGACGTCAAGGCCTTTCGACGGAAAGGACTTCTTCACCTGGTCGTTCGAATTCGAGTTAATGATGGAAGGCGCGCAGATTCTTGGCTTCTTCGACGGGTCCCTGCCATACCCAACGAACGGCACACAGTATGAGAAGCAGCAGTACACCTATCAGTCGATGATGGCGTACACGATTCTACTGAGGAACATCACCCCAACCCAACAGCAGAATATACGGTCTTACCGGGGTTACGGCAACTCCGCGGAGCTCGCATACAACCACTTGAAGAGCCTGTATCAAGCAACAGACAGCGTAAATCAAAGTCGGTTAATGGCGCAACTGACAACGGTCGAAATGAAACCAGGCGAGAAAGGAATGGCGTATATCAGCCGATGTCGCGAGTTGCGCGACAAGCTTCTTCGATTCGACAACAGTTAACGCCTTCACAGCGGCAGCTTCGACCTTCAAGCAATCAAGTCGCCTCAACACAAGCAAATCCTACGACCCAGATTAAAGCCTCCACGAACTCAACGGGACAACCTGCACAAGGAACAAGGAACATCGTCAGTTGCATGGCAAGACTGAGCGACTCTTGCATCACGGGATCACCACCGTACTACTCACCGGAAGAACAACTCGACGACACCACACCTCACCGCGATTCACTCCAGCCGAATCCGACATACGCAGCCATCGCCCAAAGCGAGCCATCCGGAAAGGACACGTGGTTCTTGGACAGTTGCTGTGGACAACACATGTGTTCTTCAGGACGCTTCGTGCAACGAGAGTACCAACTCCAACGCGAAGTAGTCATCACCGTCGCCAACAACGAAAGCCTGCGCACACGACGACAAGGAATCGTTCAACTTCAGTCACGAGAGACAAACGTCATACTACAAATGTCCAAGGTCTTAATCGCAGAAGGCCTCGGCTACAACTTACTCAGCGTTAGCCAACTGATGGCTAAAGGTATCCACCTTGAAGCAGACAGCACCACTCAGGAGTTCAAGTTGTACCACGGGAAGGGCGGTCTCTACATCGGAAAGGCGATCCTGAAAAATAACGTCTTCGTTCTTGATTTTGTTCCAGATCTCGGCACAGCAGACAGCGACGGCATCGTCACCTTCACTTCCTGGACCCACCCTCCAGAGCTTGATCCAGACTTCAGCCCCGGCGGCTTCTGGTATTCACACACCATCCCTGAGGCAGAAAGAACAAGGGCGTTAGCAACAATTCAGACAACATCGGCAGCAGCAGAGACAACATCGGCAGCAGCAGAGACAACATCGGCAGCAGCAGAGACAACATCGGCAGCAGCAGAGACAACATCGGCAGCAGCAGAGACAACATCGGCAGCAGCAGAAACAACATCGGCAGCAGCAGAACCATCAACGGCAGCAGCAGGAACGTCAACGCCAGTCGCTGGTCCCTCAACGGAACCACTCCTCGTCGACGACACACCACCTACACCCGCGCAACAACTACACCCAGCACCACGAGAAGTTCATCGAAGCGCCAACTTCACCGCCAGCTTCTATTCCAACTCCGATATGTATCGGCGCTCACCCGGACATCGCGCCACCGAAGGAACCTGGCACGCAAGAATGGGACATCCAAGCAACACGGTGTTAAACAACACGATAAGAGCAGGCGTGCTCGATAAAGACTCTCTACTCCTAACTGACGGCAGAGAACTTCAGCGAGCTCGAGGAACATGTTTCACATGTCCCGAAGCTGACTTACCGCATCAACCGTTCGCGTCTCACCACAACCCAAGCGCACCAGCTTACGCGCCACTCGAGAAGGTGTACAGCGACATCTTGTACAACCGCGAGCCTGGACAAAACGCGTACAACTACACCATCACCTTCATCGACGCTGCCACACGATATGTCTGGCATCTAAACCTTCCGAGCAAAGACATGGCCTTCGAAGCCTTCGTCGCGTGGCTCCCAGTAGCAGAGCGAGAATCGGGCGTCAAACTAAAAAGCTTCCAGTCAGACGGGGGAGGAGAATACACCTCACAGAGGTTCAAGCAGTACTTGGCTGAAATAGGAATCAAGCGGCTCATCTCCCTTCCCTACGCCCATCAACAGCAAGGTGTAGCAGAAAGGATGAACAGGACTCTCCAGAACACCATGCGCAAACTGCTACGTGGCATGCATCTGCCCAACCACCAGTGGCCCGAAGCAATGGACCACGCCGTCATGCTGCACAACTTGCTCTCGTCATCATCGCTCCCAAACAACGCATCACCGCACCTGCTATGGACAGGAAAACTGGGCAGCACAAAAATGTTAAGGGTTTTCGGCTGCATGGTACAGTACCGGCCCCCATCTGCACGAGCCGGCCGATTC